TCCCCAGTGGGGGCCAAAGATGTTTGTGTGTCCCACCCTGCTCTGGGCGCATGGGGTGACGCTGGTACGCGGGGCAGATGGAGGGCACAGGAGATGGGAGATGAGGGGCTGTGTGGGAGCATGAAGGGTGCTGGGTGGGTGGGGGGAGGCAGAGGCTGGGTGCAGCATCTGGGGGGGGGGAACGTGGAGCAGCAAGAAGGGCCCCCATGAGCTGTCTGAAAACCGCAGTTTGGCTGGGCTGCCCAAGGCTGGCACAAGGCTACTTCTGCACACTGGGGCAAATCTCCCTGCGGCCCAGATCTGGCTGAAGCTCAAACGTATCTGATCCAAAACTGTGGGGCTGTTTGGGATAGCAGCTGGGGGCTCAGTGTCACCAGCAGCCAGGCCCCCTCTCCCCATAACCTGGCTGAACATGATTACCATTCCCCACTGCCACATCCACGCAAAGAAATTTCTGAAAAAAAAAATAGGCAGCTCTGCTTTAATGGTGCTCTAAACTCAAACTTGCAATTTTACCACTGCCTTACCATATTGCTCTGGCATTAAAACCTCTCCTAAACCATTGCCACTATGTCACCCCGTGCCCTGTACCTCCCCCAGCACCCCTATGGGTCTGGCTGAGCCCCGCGGGGGCACAGTGTGGCTGGCCGGGGGGTGCTCAGGGTGGGAGCAGCTCACTGGCACAGACACTCCACGAGGGTCAGGCACAAGCTAACTGAATGCATAACTTTATTAAATAAATGCTTTGTCATGAGAAAAGACAAAGATCAAAGAGTAACATAAATTATAAGTTGAATAAATAGTATACAGCAATCTTCACTTTTTAATAAAATGTGAGATTTTTTTTTTAAGTACAAAATGCTAAACAGAGCATTAAGCTCTTCTTCCATTGTCAGTTTTTCACAAACTGCTTTTTTTTTTTTCCCCACCAGTAAGATTATGAGTATTTCTTGTTTACTGGAAAAAAAAAAAAAAACCACAACAAAAACAAAACAAAACAGAGCTACCGTATGTATGTAAAGCTATAAAAAGCTACCGTAAAATGTGTAGTGAGTATTGCTTAAAGATAAAAACCAGGCAGGAAACTCGGAATCTGGTGTGTTTTAACAACTGTGTTACAACGGTGGGTAACGTGCGCAGTGACGTCTGTCCCAGTGGCAGTGGCAGGGGGCTGGCGGGGCTGGGGAGGGGGGCACAGTAGGCAGGGCTCCTAGCCAGCGCCAGGACAGCGGTCTGGAAGCGAGGTGAACTGTCGGTTGTTAAATATACAATGCTCCGTTCGGGAAAAAAAAAAAAAATCAACAACAACAGAAAAAAAAACAAAACACCCCAACAACAAAAAAAAAGAGTTTTCATGGGGAAGGGGGAGAAAAAAGAGAAGGGGGGGAGAGAGAGCAGAGAAATAGTGCAAAATGCTCTTGTACTAGTGGTTTTCGAAGTCCACTACAGTACAGACAAGGGGTAGCCCAGCCGCCAAGCGCCGCTCCCCGGGGGGATGTGGTGGAAGGGCTGTCCTGACCCCTGCGCCATCCTTGTCCTCTCCTTCCGAGCCAGCATCCCGGGTACCAGCGCGGGCTCCGTGCAGACACCATGGCTGGAGACCCCCCAGCCTCACGCCTCCCCCTGATGCACAAATTGCCAGCACTTCCCCATATGCCTCAACCCCCTCCCGTCGCTCACCCAGCCCTCCCAGATCCCAAATCTGTCCTTTGAATTTTCTCACCCCAAATGCAAAGGGGTGCCACTGGGCGCTGAGAACAGGAACACCTCGTCACTGCCACCCCTGGGGGAGGGGGTCCGACTGAATCTGCTTTTTCCCCCAGCCTGACCCAGGCTCCAACCCCGGTCCTAAATATTAGTGCAGCCTGCAAACAGCCTCGTCCTGCCAGGGATGCTCAAGGGAGCGGGTGGCCGGGGGTTCTCTCGGTGCCCTGTCCTGCGACCAAGGCAGCTTGGGGGGAAGGGGGTGTGAGGGTGGTTCAGCCCCGTCCTTGCATCCTCCTCTTCCCCCCCGCCAGGTTGGTGATGACAGGACAGGCAGTGCCATCCCGGTGCTGGATGTGCAGCGGGGAGGGAGGCTGTGTGGGACAGATTTTGGTGCTCTGAGCTCCCAGGGCCGTGGCTGTGTGACTTGCTTTGCAGGGAGAGGTTGGGGACCCACCCTGTGTCCCCCTCCCAGTGTCACCATGATGGCCACATCATGAGACCGCCACTGGGCCCCGTGAGCTGACCCTAGTGATGCAAAAAGCGTTAGCCCCTAAAGGCAAAGTCCATGGGGAGCTGCTGTCCCTCTGCCTGCTCCCATCCCGCCCCAGCGGCACGTCTCCTTTCTCTGCAGCCAAAGGCTTTCAAGTTTTGGGAAATCAAACAACAAAACAAACAAACAAACAAAAAAGCAAGAAAGAGGGAGAGAGGAGGAGGGAAGGGTCCTGGGGAAGGTGGTACTGGCCTATAACAGTCAGGAGGTTTTGCACAGGGATTGGCGAGCGGAGGAGATGGGGGACAGTGGTGACAATGGTGACCTGGGGCCCTTGGGGTTGGCACAGGCTCCTCCTCCTCCTCCACCTGCCCTCTCTACCCCATTCTTCACCCCACCTTCACTACACCATTAACTCACCACCCTGGTCAAACCAACTCTGCTCCATCAGCCCTGCAGAGCCTGGAGGGGTCCCTCCCCCAGCCACAGCACCCGCCGTGCTCCCCTCCAGCAGCATGGGGGTCAACTGCTGCAGCAGGTTCTTTCTGCGGGGGCAGATCTGCATTTGGTGGCACTCTCCCTTCTTTTCAGCAAGGGAAGATGCCTCGCCCCCAGCTCCAAACATACCCCACTGGGTCTCTGTGGAAGTCCATTGGCAAAACTTGCTCCTGCCATAACTCCAAGAGAAATAACTCCAGAGCGTCCAGTCCTGCCCTCAGTTGGGGCAAGCATCCTGGTGGGGGGTCCTCGGGGTGCTTGGGGAAGTGGTGCCATGTCATGGAAGGCTATGAGGGTGTCCAACCAGTGATGGAAAGGAGCCTCCACCAGGCCCCCTTGGCGTCGAATCCCCCTTGTCGCAGCCCCGCTGGTGGGGACCCAGTGGCACTGCAGACCCCCTTTCCTCCCTGCCCAGCTCTGGGATGCTCAGTGGGACTTCAGGGGTGTACAAACCTTCCCCCCCCGAGATCGGCTGTGTCCTTTGACCAGTGCCAGCTGCCGTGTCCAGCCGTGGAAGCAGGATGGGGTGCCCGGTGGGTGCGTGTTTGCCCACTGGGACTGCAGCGCCCAGACCCCACAGCTCGCTTTCCTTCCTTTCCTTCACTGCAGGATCTCCTCCCAGCACCAATGTCCCGGAGACCCTTGTCATGGGAAAACAAGAGGCAACAGTCCCAAAATCAAATGTGAAAAATCAAAAACAACAAAAAAGCCCAGAAGGCAGGCAAGGACAGTCCCAGCACACCTGAAGCAGTGGGTTTCTGCGGTGCGGCGGCTGCTGTCACTGAACAAGCAGCTGGGTCCCAGGTTAAAGGGCGAGGGCCCGTCTCAGGTCTTACTGTTGGGTGGCAGGAATTGGCCATGGCAACATGAGCAGCATCCTCAATGCAAAAGGATGGAGATTGGTGTTTTCCTACTCATGGATAAACCAGCCTTAACAAAAATCCAAGACAAAACAAAGTATGGGTTCGTTTTTTTTTTTCCCCTGGAGCAAACCACTTTTTTGGCTGTGGAAAAAAAAAAAAAAAAAAAAAAAATCTCCATAGTTGGTCTTCCTTATGGTGGCAAAGGGTGGTGAAGAGTTTTGGCCCCGATCCCCCTGTTCCCACATAGGGATGCTTCAGTCTGGAGAGCGATGGAGTATCTGCGGGGTCGGCTCGGATGCAGCCCTCGGCATCGGTGGGGCCCTGATCCCGCAGGCACTGGTGCTGCTCCATAACTCTGCTCCAGTGCTTAGTCTGGCAGGTTGTTATTATTGGGGCTTTTATTTTGGTGGGTGGGGGGGCAACATCTCTCCCCCTGCTTACAGTTAAGCCCTCCAGATTGCAGGTTTCAAGGCGAAGTTTTGCAAGGAGGAAAAGCCACGTCTGTGCACACACACGCTCACACATACGCACATGCACGCAGGCGACAAACACTTCCACACCTAGATGGACAATGGTTAGAGTCCCACTTGTCCAAAAAGATTTCTGACCTCCTGTTCAAGAGGAACTGGACAGAGAAGGATATCTTTCCTTTTCAGATGATTTCTTTTTGAAGTCCATGAATATTTTGTGGGGGATATTCATGCTGTTGCAGGAGCTGTGTTTCCTTCCCTGGCTCATCTCCAGACACAAAGCCAGCAGTCCCACTCCTCCTCTCAAGGAGTCAAAATCTGCCTGGATCCGGGGTGGTCGTTTGAGACTGAAGTCAAATCAAATCGACTTGAGTGAGTCCCAGCAATGTGGGGAGAAGACTTCAGAGGTCTGCAGCGAGGAGGGGGAATGCTGGTGGCCACAAGGCTTTTTCTTGAGACGCTTTAGAAAACAACTAGCTAACCGCTCCCCCCCCCCCCCCCCCAAAAAAAAAAAATTAACCTGCCCAAAACCCGTACTGGAAAATCACCAACTCGGAGAGCTTCCTACATCGGGGTGGCCTCTGCTCAGGCGGCATTGAGAAGAGGTGTGGGGAGGTGTGGGATGGCAGAGCGGCCATGGCTGGTTTGTCTCTGGCTCTGTTCTTTCCTTGCTGAGTCCTTGTTGTCAAGAGGATGCTGTAGATTCCGAGTCCTCAGTTTCTTCAGGGTTTGTTTTTCTCTTTTTTCTTTTCTTCTTTTCTTCTTTTCTCTTTTCTTTTCTTCTTTTCTCTTTTTCTTTTCTTTTCTTTTCTTTTCTTTTCTTTCTTTTCTTTTCTTTTCTTTTCTTTTCTTTTCTTTTCTTTTCTTTTCTTTTCTTTTCTTTTCTTTTCTTTTCTTTTCTTTTCTTTTCTTTTCTTTTCTTTTCTTTTCTTTTCTTTTCTTTTCTTTTCCTTTTCTTTTTTCTTTTCCTTATTTTTTGCTTTTCCTTTCTTTACATCTTTCTTTCTCTTTTTTTTCCTTTTCTTTCCTTTCTCTTTTTTCTTTTCCTTTCTTTTTTTCTTCTTACATGAGATGAAAGGAATCGGAGTCCCGGGGCACAGGGAGGTGCAGAGGGGAGGGTGGAAGGGAGCCTGGGTAGGTAGTGATGGGGCGGAGGGAGGGGATGCAACTTCACTCCACGTTGCTGCTGTCAAACGCGTGGCACTGCAGGTCTCCGCTCAGGTAGTCAGTCCCTGGCAGCTTCATGCCGTATTTGTCCACACACCAACACAGCCCACGCTTCCGGCCTCGGGAGGGCTTGCACTGGGGAAACACCCAAGGGCAGAGATCAGGAGCTGGCCACCAGCACGGCTCCCTCGCGCTGGGGGTCAGGATCATCCCTGCGCGTTGCCCCTTTCACCCCAGCGATGCAATCCCCTGGGTAGGACCTAGCTCCTGCTCTCTGCTTTCAGCACATCTCCATCCCCACTGCTACCCCAGCCTGGGGCTCTCTGACTTTTCCTCCTCCCACACCACCTCCTTCAAGGACACTTGCCTCAGGCCGGACAATGCTCAGAACCATTAGCAAGGCCACACACCACTAACCATGCCTGGAGATGCTCATAGCAACATCCCCACCAGCCCAGTAGGTGAACAACCTCCATCCTTTCCATCCAGGGCAGCAGACCCTCCCTGGGTGGGTGGGAAGCATCCCTCCGCAGGGCTCTTTCTTACCTGCTTCCTCTTGTAGAAGCCTTTTCGGTCGCAGTTGGGGAGGTGGACGGCACGGGGGACCATCCGCTGGCTGCTCTTGAGCTCCTGCAGGGATGCCTCCATGTGCCTGCGGCAGGGGCCCTGTGAGCAGGGAGGAGATGGAGGGTGAGGAGGGGAGGACCCTGCAGTGATCCTCCAGCTGCCCATGCCCCCAGGTCCCCTGTCCCCCCACACTGGCACCTGCTCCCCCAGGCCCCCTGCTCGCGGGAGCCCCACAGAGGGAAGGCAAAGGCACCCACCAGCTCAAATTCTTGCCGGAGCTCAGGGATGACGACGCGGGGGTGCGCAGTGTTCTCTGCCATGCCCACAAACTTGGCCAGGGTCAGCTTCTTCCGGCGGTCCTTCTTCAGGGCCTCAGCCTTGAGCTCGGAAAGGCGCCCGTGCTTGGGCCGGTAGGCTTTGGGTGGGTAGGTCTCCTCTGTCATCTCTGATGTGGTCGGCTCCTCATGCTCTCGGGACTCTCGTTCTGGAAGGGAAAGGGTACCAAACTGTCATGTGCTGACTGGGGCTTGCTCTTGCACAGGGAGCCTCCTGCCCAACCCCAGAGGACACCTTTGCACCAGGCGGGATGGGAAAAAATGACCAAAGAAATCCCCTTTGTCAGCTGCTGCCTACAACCCTGGCTTTATGTCACTGTTTGGGACATGGCGTGGCTTTCGTGTGACCCCCAAGTTCAGGACAGGAAGGTGTCTGAGGGAATGGAGGAGTTGAAGGTCAGGATGGGCTCTTATATACAAGGCCACCATCGTTTACAGCGCGTCAGTGGAGAAGGACATGAGGGGAGGGTTATCCTAAAGCCAGAAAGGACCAAATGGCACACAAAATGTGGCAGAGAAGCCCCTCTTTAGCCACAGGGAGAGGATTAAGTGACAAATTCACATTCCATCCCAGGCTTGCAGATGCAAGAGCAAAAGCCAGGGATGCTCAAAGATGAGACGACTCCGAAGTCAAGGTCAGTCCCACAGCAAAGCCACCACATGGTTGGGGAGACACTGCAGCAGCGATGCCGAAGACATGGCTGACAAGTGCTGGGATCTCCAGGGTCCTCAGTCTGCAGCCCCCACGCTCACGGGACCGAACCAGCGCTCGTCTGCTGGCACCCACCAAGCAGCTGGCAAAGCCCAGGGTAATGGGGCTGAGCCGTGCTGCCTGACTGTAGCTGCCACCGATAGTACCTATGGCAAGGGAGGAGCACACTGAGCCTCCATCCACGGCAGTTGCCTTCCTATACACTCCCTGGATCACCCCAACGTGACCTGTGCGGGCAGGATGCAGTCAGGAGCCCTGTGCAGTTATATATAGGAGAGAGCTGATGACAGTCTAAACTTAGATGACTTGTGACATTTAGTGCAGCCATCGGAGTGAAAACGGGTTATTTCTGGACTAAAATTGAATAGCGTTTAAGGCTCCTGGTCTCCCAGTCCCTGATTCCCAGCAGTCTTATGCTGACACCAGGTTTGTGCTGGGGGCAGTGGGCAGGCACGGGGGGAGCCCACCGCAGCAGGAGAAAAAGCATCAGAGCAGCTGAAATCCCTCCCTGCACTGTGTCTCCTGTGACTTCGATGCCAGTAAACCCAGCCCATCCCCTCCTGCAACCCTATGGTGAAGATAGCAGGGCACCCATTTTGCCCCTCCTTGAAATATCACAGTTGAGAGAAAAGAAAAAGGCTCAGGATGAACATAAAAGCAGATAATCGCCTCCCCCCCCCCGCCCCAACAAGGCAAAGACCAGTGCTCCCTGGAGCCCAGATGCACTCAGGAGGGAGGAGGATGGCTCTGCCCCCCCCGGCTGCCCAGGGGACGCCCAGTGATGGGGGATGGATGCCCTGCTCAGCAGCTGATGGCAGCACCGGCCTGTCACATGCAGCTCCAGTTGGGTGGCCTTGGAGGTGGCCGAGGGGACAGCCTGATCGCTGAGCCCCCAAGCCTGCCACAGCTACCAGTCTCCTCTTCCTCCTTGCCAAGATGGACCTGCCCTCTACCAGGAAAACTGGAAAGTTTTCTATGCCTACTTACTTACTAGAGCAGCCTTGTTTTTTTCTCTTTCCACAAGAACAGAGCTGGGTCAGCATTCCAGACTCAGCACCCTAACTGCCCACAGCAACATAAATAACCCCATGTGCCGCCACTGGGACTCACATGTATCCCCAGGATGGGATTCTCTTGCCATTTTGCTCCCTGATGTTCATATGTTTGGGGGGTTTTCCTTGATGCAGGACTCAAAGGCCCCCCACCCCACAGGCTGGGGATCCTCTATTATACGGAGATGACAGACAAGGAATAGGGAAGACGTTGATTAAATTGGGAGTGACCTAGTCCCCCAGGAAATGACACTGTACAAGGTGCAGTAGAAGAGTATCCTTTGCCACAAACCTGCTGTGGCAACCTGAGGTCTGAAAGGAGACTGAAGACATCTGCAGTGACTAAGCCCTTCCACGGCAATGAAACACGCTGTGATCTGTCCCAGGAATCCCCTCTGGCACCAACTGCCAGGGCCAGACACAGCAGAGCCGGGGCATTTCTCTGGGCTGCCCTACGGTAATTAAGGGGAGAGGAGGATTCACAGTGGCACAGGCAACCCTACAATAACACGAGGGGCACAGCTCATTACCTCTGCAATAACAAACACGAGAGGCACAGCTACCTGGACAAACCTAAAATAACAAACAAATGGCACAAGGCAGTGAGGATTCAGTCAGAAAAACAGCACGGGGTGTCCAGTCCCTGAGACTTGTGATGCAACGGGTGTTTGCAGCGGCTCAACCTGCTCATTCGGTCAGCAGCTTCAGCCTCTGCAAACACTTCTCTGCTTCCTGCAAGCTGCCAACCAGCCAGAGAGGGCTGGGAGATGGGGACTAATGTGGAACCTTTTTGGCAATGGGAGATGGGAGCCAGAGGAGCACAGTGCTCTGCAGAGGGAGCTGAGGGTTGGCACGCACTGAAAGCTGCTCAGCTTCCAGCCCAAATCCAGTGCTTCCTGCAGGGCCAAAAAAGCACCTGAACTGACACCCTTTACCCTTCCCAGCACACATGGGTCCCAGCTCAAGTAGCAATACAAGAAGAGATGGTTGTGGTGGGACGACTCCACCTGCTGCTCAGCAGTGGTGTCTAGTTTGGATCTTTATTTCTCAGTAAGAACCCCATGGATGCCTTGGAGTGATCCCTTTTCTCCACCCTCTGATGTTTTTTATAGCCTAATTTCCTTCAGCAACAAGGCTGAAGCAGTCCCTGCTCATGCACTCGACTATCTGTTCCCTAATTTGATACTAACAAGACCATTTTGACAAACTGAAGGGCAGAGGTCTCTGACACACGAACTCCTGACAAGCTCCGGGCAGCTGGTGAGGGACCTTCCTGGTGCCAACAGGAGAGGGAAAGGCAGAGCCAAGGCAGGCAGCACCCATGCAATCCTCCCCTTCACCCCCTGACTGGCTCGTCCACATGAATCTGCAGCCACCCACTGCAGTCGGGACCAAACACCCATGTCAGCATCTGGAGAGCCACTGCACCTGCCTGCCCATCTTCACCCACCACCTCGTTCATTAACCTCCATCTGCCACCCCGGGGCTGGCCCATGACAGGCAGCGCTGGCACCACTGTGCCTCTGCTCCCGAGCAGACACCGGCAGGAGCAACGCCCAGTTTCCCCAAATGAGCCCTAATTATGCCTGTCTGAGACTCAGGAAGGAGGCTGGAGTTCCTCCTCCTTTGCTGTCAGGATCTGGCCAGCTGCACAGCCCCTTCCTGCCTACTCCCATCTGCACCTTGCCAACCCAGGACTGGGTTTCAGGCTGGCAGCTGTATTTCAGCTCTAGGCACAAGGCATAGGCAGGAAGGTCCTACTCACCGTGTCCCCAGCCAGGGGACAGTGGGAAGCAGGAGGTCAGGACGTGGGTGGCTCTCACATCTCCATCCCTTCTCCCCCACTTCTCAGGAGGAGGTGACCTCTTGGCAGAGGTCTCAGGCTCGCTGGCCACACAGAAGAAAGACATTGCTGGCTAAGCTGAGGATGCCTGGCTAGCCTGGTGAGACATGGGCTGTAGCCACCTCAATGGGATGTTGACCCTACAACGAAGGCAGGAGACTGAATTCAACTCAGAGCCACCCCGTGGCTTCATGTCTGGTCCGATGCTGCAGTGCCCATGGAGGACTCAGGGAAAGAGCAGTGAGCATCTGGAGATGCTCCTGACACAAGTCAGGCCAGAAGGACTATGTTGTTGATGCAGGCTAATTCATGCAGGCTCCCGTGAGCCCTGAGAGGCAGAAAATACCCATAGCAGAGCATGGGCTGTCCTCTGCCCCTGGGCTGAGGGCTTGGTGCCCTCTCCCCACTCCAGGCTGACCAGCAGGAGCTCCCTAGCAGCAGCCATTTCCAACTGTTTCACCTTGTCTCTACAGAAGGGACACAGGAGTAGTAAAATACCAGGCATGCTTTCTGGGAAGCTGCAAATTGCTCCTGTCCAGCTGCCTGCTGTCCTTGACAGACATCACCCAGAGCAGCCTGTGCACCTTCCTGCACCTGGGCCAAAACCCAGCCTGGATGCTTCAGTGCCCCAGGCGATTTGGACACATGTGAGGTCCCCACAGGGTGGGTGTGTGCGTACACATGTGGGTGAGGGGTGTGTGGGAACACCACCTCCCTGATTGCTGATATTACAGAGAGAAGCAGGAAGCTTGTTCCAAATGACTAGGAGGCTTGACTTTTCACAATAGATTTTCATCGGTTCCTAGCAGGAAGGTAGGAAAAGTATCTATTGACTGTTGCTGCTAATGATCCATGCTTGTTCCATCCACAGCCCACTGCTAGAGGGCTTGACGTCCTATTCAAACACCCCAAAAAAAAGCCACATGCACATAAGAAGGACAAGCACAACCATAGCACAAGCTTGCTAAAGAGCCCTCTTGATTATTATAATGATTATTATTATTTACATCATGAGTGCTAGCATAATACACCACTTAAGCAGGAAGGTGTCAGAGAAGGACTTAACAGGGATCTTGGTGAAACCTCTAGCTTGGGAATGACAGCAAGTGTTACTGGTGGAGACCTTGGGAAGTTGCCCAGTCCTTCCTTTGCACCCAAACTCAGCCATGTCTGTTCAGAGGTGCTTGTTGCAAGACAGAAGTTAAGGCTTACATTACCCAGGGCTGAAACATCTCTGCTTAGAGAACAGCAAGTGCCTACCACCAAGTGCAGTGCAACAGTGCACAATGTCTCTGCTCTCCACCGGAGGAAGATTTACCCCCAGGATGAAGAGCCACCTCCCAATATTCCCATGAAGGGAATATCCTCAGCTGCAGGACTTAACAAGTGACTCCTCACCCTTGTGATTTTGGGCCCTGGTGGCAGCTGTCTTTGGAGAACGCCAGTTTCTGTCCCATCACCGCTTACAACAATGTGTCATTTTCCAAACCTAGCTGGGTTATCTGACATCTTGACTTTCTTTTTGGCAGGAGGGACAACATT